AAGAATATTGCTGATGCGGCGGCGGCTACGGTTGATTCGTTGGATGCGAATGGGTTTCTTGTTTCGACTTTGAGTCATGCCGGGAAGTGTAGTGGCGGGAAGTTAACTGAGGTGTATCACTTTGATTCGAAGGCGGATGTTTTTCCGGGGTATGTGAACGACAGGTATCCGGAATTGGCGGCCAAGATGTCGTGTATCCATACCGGATATTTCATGACTAGCCATCGGATATTGCCGAGCTCGTACTTTCAAAAGGTATGTCCCCTGTTTACTGTGATGTGGAGAAGATGAGGTTGATCATGAAATAGCTCGAGGACGGCAGCTTCCAGATGCGCTTCCCCACGCGCCCGGACCGGCCCGTCCCGCATCTGGATGTTAACACCGACACGGGTAACTTCGTGTATGCCGTCTCCAAGATGCCGCCGGGTAAGGCGTACATTGCGGCGGGCTCGTTCGCCGGGTTTGGAGAGTACCTCCGGCTCTTCGGGGAGGTTACGGGCGCCCGGACGAGTTACAAGCAGGTTAGCTACGACGAGATGGTGGCGGATGCCGACGATAAAGATACGGGCATTGAGACGGCGTATATGTACATGTACGCGGATGATCCAGGGTATGACGGTGGAATGGAGCTTCTGACTGCTGAGGACCTGAAGAAGGTGAGAGCTTCCGATGTATTGTGTTCGTTGATGAGAGGACGTGCTGACAGGATAGGCTGGAATTGAATGCCCCATGACAACTTTGGCGGAGTGGATCGGGAAGCAGGATTGGTCTCCGGTCCTGAATAAGTGATTGGATTGACATGATCGGACCGGTCAGTCTGAGTTCAGGGGTTCGGGTGAGGACATTTAGAACCACCTCAGGGAGCGGGCCCGAAGATTCCCGAAAAAAGGGGTTCTGTTCGAGATCCAATGTTAAAAAAGATCCATAAGCATGCATATTGATAAGACCTGGATGTGCAAAACTATATACAAGAATGGGAATAAAACTGTGTATGCAAGAAGGGATAGCCCAAGACAAAAGAAAATGTCAATGTTAACGACCGACCCTCCACCCATGATGCGACCAACAAAACCCCCGCCACCTAAGGCATACCCGCCCGCATATTGTCATACTTGCTATCCGGGAACGAAAGCTGGTTCGGACTCCAATCCAGCCCGCCCAGCCCCGAAAAGCTCGCGGCGATCAAACTCCCGCCATCCTTCCGATCCCCGCTGGCCTCCCAAAACATACTCCCACCCAAGCCCTTCTGCTTCAACCACCCAATCTTACGGTTGACCATATCCACCGTATCAAAGCTAACCATCTCCCTCTTCCCAGCATCATAGCTATACGTCGCCCCCGCATCAGCATCATACATCACCTGTGCATTAGCCTGCGGGAGGACCTTGTAGTCATACACGCCGGCCTCCCAGCTCCCCCCTCCCACGCCCGAAAACGGCCTGCCCAGCCCGTCGGTGTTGGCAAACGACCGGCCGTAAAGCGGCATCCCCAGAACAATCTTGGAAGGTGCCACACCGGCAGCGATGTAATCATCCACAGCACGCTGCGTGCTAAACGGCGTCGCGGAACCGCCATACGCACTCGACGGAAATAAATTTGCCTGGTGTCCAGCGATAGAATCCCAGCTGCCGGAGTAGTCATACGCCATGAGATTGAACCAATCAACCGTCGACGCGACCTGTGCGAGATGCAATTTGCCGTAGTTCGTCGGACCGGCGGGCGACGCAACCGTCAGCAGGAAGTGGTACCCGCCGCCGGAGGGCGTGGCCGAGTAGGCATCGAGCGCGGCGCGGACGGCTTGCAGGAGGAGGATGTAGTTCTGCGACTCGGTCTCCGACTGGGGATATTCCCAGTCGATGTCGAGGCCGTCGAAGCCGAGGTCGATTAGCAGACGGACGGCGCTGGACGCAAAGAGGGCGCGGGACGACGGGGTCGAGGCGGCGGCGGCGAAGTTGGAGGAGTAGGTCCAGCCGCCGATAGAAAGCAAGACTTTTAGCTGGCGGTTGGCTTTCTTGAGGAGGTAGAGCTGCTTGACGCAGCCGTAGACGTTGGTGCCTTGGTCGTTCCAGGAGTCGGTGGGGTAGTGCTTGTCCGTGTCGGCCCAGGAGTCGGACAGGAAGACTTGGCCGCTGGGCTGCAGGTTGGCGAAGGAGTAGAGGACGTGGGTGATTTGCGAGGCTGGCAGGTCGGTTGGCTGGTAGTTGCGGCCATATATGCCCCTTTTTCATGTTAGCAACCGTGGTCTAGATGGGAGGTGAGAGAATTACCAGTTGGTAAAATAGACAATGTTCTTGAAGCCAGAAGCGGATCGGTCTTCCACGGGATGTGGCACGGGAGATGTATGTACAAGAGAAACCAAGGAAAATGCAGCCAGAGCTGCTTGGACGAAAAACTTCATGATGAAAGAGTGTTAGAAGGCAAGCGAATGAGTGGCTGTGTCCGTCTCTCCTCTCTCTGATCCATGATGAAAGCCAGATCTTATATCCTATGTCCCAGTATCCCTGGAAGATGCTTTGCAAGCCATGGTCTCAGACATCCCTGAGGTCGGCGATGTCAAAATTCCACAGCACAGCTCTAGCCTCAGCAAGCCACCATGTCCAAGTCCCGCAACGTTCCAACGCGATTCGCTCCCATCGGTATCGATAACCAGGATGTCCAGCATCCGGTTCTAGAAACGTGACAATGCCGAGTAGTGCTCGGCCTCATCTTGCACATGATCGAATCGCGCAATCGAGTGCCACTGCCGTTGAAGACTGCAAGATGAGAACCAGACCCGAACCCTGGCATCCCCACATCCTAACCAGGGGGTTTGACCTGGACTCGGTCCGCGGGAAGGAGACCATCGGTGAATACCACGCTGCCCTGCGAAGTTATCGCGGGGTTCTCATTACCTTGTGTCTCAGGGGTGACCGATACCCATCACAAAAAATGCGGTTACCTGGTCCAGAACCGCGAATCTTGAAATTGCCGTGATGCCCCGCCCGATCAGGAAGGTAAACCGCCCCCGGGACTGTTGCTCCACTGCAGCCGACAGGGGGCTCGACCCAAACAACCCTCGCCATCGCAACTCCACAGGGCAGAAGGACCCGGTATGGCTTGGCGAGACCCCAAAAACCAAAAGACATGACCGAAATGATGGGTTTGTCGTGAACCAGTCGCTCTCCGTTGTTTGTATCGCCACTTGGCGCCAGCGAAATGGAAACCCACAATCTGCCAAATCTTCAGCCGGGTGCTTCCGTCCCGGGACCCGTTCCGTACCCCCGGTTCAGGGGCAACACTCTTTGAAGGTTTTCCCCGGGGAACTTTCTAACTTGTCATTTGCATATGCGCGCGGGCAGAGCCTCGATGGAAATGCCGACGGAGATTGTGGGCGGCAGGTCCCGCGCTAGGCACATCACAAGATGATCGATGACCTGGTTCTTTGTCGGGGAGGGTGGCATTTTGGGGAACCTTTTCCATCCTCCTGATTTTAGTTGTTGAAAATGGGGGGTTGCATTTTGATTCGCTGAGACCTTGCAACGTTACTTTTTCTGCTTTTCGCCATCATTTCGGCGGTTATTGCGATGGTTGTTGGGCCGGTGAATTGGTCCCAGTTGTGGTTTTAGTAACCCAGGCTAACCTTGCGTAGTAGGACGTCCTACGGTATCTTCAAACTTCAACTTGTTCATCATATCGGCAAGCCTTCTTCGATCCTCTGAACAGTCATCCACTGGCACTTGAATCTGTGAAGTAAAGGGGTTAATGCACGATCTCCTGCGGTCTGTCCGCGGAACTCACCTGCTCCATCCAGTTCCTTAGTTCGCTCATTAGTGGCCAGTCACCGCCGCCCCGTCCAACTTCCTCGTGCCGTCCAATTCCCCCACTTCGTCTAATAACAACCTCGGGCTACAACGGAAGGTTAGCATTTGGCTGAGTCCTTTTTACGGAATGTCTTACTTCTGTTTTCCTCTTAAAATGGCATCTCCTGAGGTGTGCTGCGGCGTTGTAGTAAGCGCCATATGCCTTTTGGAAGGAGCAGTGCTTGCAATCGCTCAAAGGCTTTCCCGGGCGCTCAGTGTGCTGTATTCCTGCAACTTGGGGATCTCGACAGATCCATTTCGTGACGAACTTTTGGTGTGAATGGACTTGATTGATATGCCGAGTAAGCTCGTGCTCGTCCCCATAACCCTCCGGATTCATGTTGCACTCGGTGCAGTGGATTTGCGATGCGACTCCCAGGCCGGTTTTCTCAGCTCGTTGGTATCCTATGCGGTCTCCTTCCTTCTCAGGAAATGTTACAGCCGTCGTATCGGCTTTCTGCAAAGTTTGCGGCTCGTCTGGGCCATTGGCTCTTTCTGCTACCTCTTGTTTCTCGATAGTCGTCCGTCGTTCTTTCGCTTTGTTTTGGATGCTCGTACTTGAAAGCGGTGAGAACTCTGCCTCAGACAATACAGACGAATGCAACACGAGGCCGGTGTGAATATCGGGGGCGGGATCCCCGTCAATTCTCAATGTTTGGGCCGACCCGTCCGCTTCCGAGGACATAGTCACGGCAATGCTCTGGTTGTGATGATGAGTGCGCTCTGAATCTGATGTTGCGGAAAGGGATCCGAAGCTTCCGCCAGCAGCTCTAGCAGTCGAAACTGGACTCAGCTCAAGGTTGGTGCCTCGGGATAGTGGATAACTACCAAGACTCGAGAGGAGGGCGTCCACGCTCGTCGTTCATATCTGGTGCTTATCATCCTGAGACGAGCCACGCAAAGCTGTCGGATTGACCCCGTGATCTTGATAAGCTGGAAAGTGCGGGGTAATCATCACAACTCTGTTCTGGATGCCCATTCGGCGCCTGCTGCCTTTCGGGCGACGCCACAGCGGCACTTCCCTTCCAGCAGCAGGCACCCGTGTATCTACCTAGGTGGCTAGGTCCCGATAGAAGAAAACATCCAACATGTTGTGCCGGTAATAGCCATGCATGATAGGTATGGCGGGCGTTAACGGACAACAAAACACCAACAAAGAAAGGCAAAGTGGCCGAGCGGTCTAAGGCGCCACGTTAAGGTTTAACCTTGATTCATTGACTTCCTCAGTTCCTGAGGTTGGAAAGAGTTCCGTGGTCCGAAAGGGCGTGAGTTCGAATCTCACCTTTGTCATCTTAAATTTTTGCCTGTTTCATTTTCTATCACTCCTTCTTCTTTCACATTCTCTGGCATCATGGTTAGAATGAATTGGAGGGCTAGGAAATGGATGCTGGGAGCTGGGATTTAGAGTTGGTGACTTGGCAGAGTCTAGGTCAACATTCAGGGGCTTGCCCCGCACCCCCTGCCGTTCGGCCAATCACAGGCCTAGGATCACGCGTACACCACCCTCCAAGCCTCCCACACATCCCCCAGGCACCGAACACAGCCCCTGACCTTTCAACCGTGTTTGGCCGATTACTCCGTACATTTCCAATAGAGGAATGCGCGTGTATGCAAGATTACTAACTCCATATTGGACGCCGCGTGCACGGTTAAACGACTTCAAATCTGCCTCGTCGTATTGTCCAGGCGATGATTTGCTGCCTCAGTTTGCTGGGAGAATAATGGCTGGATGCGATGGCGGTCATAAGAATGGAAGAGATGCACCCTCAGGAGACAAAAAGAACCCAGCGAAATGTTATAAAAGTCTCTAGTCCCGGACATCGTCCTCTAGAGGGAGAAGGAGAACGGACACCGGAAACTCCTACCTTCAAATCACCATGTCTTCCCCTGCACGACGTTCCTCTCTCTTATTGCTCCTGCTCATATTATATCAACAAATTGGCCGATCATTTGCAAGCAAAGTGCAATGGACAACATGCCAACCGGGCGAGTTCACCACCAACATCACAATCCAATGCGCCACCCTCCAAGTCCCTCTAGACTACTCTAGCAGCAGTGACAAAAATGACAATAACACCAACAAAATGATCGACTTGCACCTCGTCCGAATCCCAGCGCTAGTACAGCCGTCCAAGGGTAGCATCCAGCTCAACTTTGGCGGCCCCGGTGAGCCGACGCGCGAGACAGCCGTCGCCTTGGGGCCGCTTCTTCAAGTGTATGTTTTTCTTGTCTCACCTTTTAAACCCCTCTTCCTTCGGGATGGGAGCAGAAAAAAAAGTTGCGATGCGTGGAATCGCTCGCGAGAATGGTATGGGAATAGTGAGGTTCGAACTCACGACCTTTGGATGGCCCCGGCGTTTGGATCGCCGGATCATGCTTATGAGACCAACGCTCTAACCAACTGAGCCATATTCCCATGTTGAACTGCATACCTTATTCCTGGCTTTGAGCCTGTTGCTGATCTTTCGTCGCCGTGATGCAGTATGAGTGGTGGTGCGTATGACCTCATCGGGTTCGACCCTCGGTACGTTTTACTTTCCGTGCCGGCGAATTGTCCTGACTTGGAACGATAGTGGAACTGGTACTACCATCCCTTTCGTGTGCACAAAAGACGCATTCACTGTCGGCCAAATCCTTGATGAGGTTGGCCGGTCGAGCCTCGAGTCCGATACGGCGGAACGACGTCTTTGGGAGCGGGCCAGGGTTGACGCCGATATCTGCGCGCAGAGCGGCAATGGGAACGAGACGGGGCCGTATATCGGCACCGCGTATGTTGCGAGGGACATGATGCGCGTTGCGGAGGCGTTGGATGAAGACGGGATGCTGCGGTACTGGGGTAAGTTTTGGGTCGGATACCCAGATCACACGCTGGTCTGACAGATGCACCTAGGCTTCTCGTACGGCACAACGCTGGGAGCTACGCTGGCTGCCATGTTCCCCGATAGAATCGACAGGATGGTGATTGATGGCGTCCAGAACCCGCACGAGTACTACCATGCTCAAGCGTAAGCTTCTACATCCTCAGCAGACTCGGGCATGTCTTGTTTCTGACGACAACTGTGCAGTGATTTCGAGGAATGGACCGACTCGGACGCCGTCTTCAGCTATTTCTTCAGCAGCTGTCTAACCGCAGCACCTGGCCGTTGCGCGCTCGCAACCCTCAACAAAACTGCCGCGCAGCTCGAAAAAGACACATGGGAGTTTATCGAGTCTCTCCGCCAGGCACCTATCCCGGCTGGTAGCATCCTCATCGATATGGGCGCCTTCAAGAACTTCATTATTGGTGAGCTCAAGTTTGCCGGCGGCTGGCCTGACCTCTCAGCACTCCTGTCAGTTCTGGTTTACGGCACACCACAAGAAAAAGTTCGTGTCCTCGAAGCCATCGTCGACGAGGCGTCCAAGACCCAACAGCTTGGTCCGTCAAGCTTCGATGTGGTCGCAAGCCTCTGGGGAATCCACTGCGGCGACCGCACTGTCCGGCTCGGTTCCTTCGAAGCCCAGCAGAAGGACGGGGTTTTCTCTCGGCTCTACAAAACCAGTCGTCTTGTGGGAGACGTTGTGACCCAAATCACTGCACACTGCGCTCAGTGGCCCTGGCACGCGCGGGAGACGTACAGCGGGGACTTCCGCATCAGAACCAAGAATCCGATATTGGTAGCAAGTAACCTCAGAGACTCGCACACGCCGCTAAAGTCAGCACTCAATGTCAGCGCCGGATTTGAAGGGAGTGGGCTGCTTCAGGTCAATGGTACCGGCGTGAGTTGCACCTTGTTGAATGGTGTCGTATACAGCTAATCGGAATAGCACGCCACCTTGAATGTCCCGTCGGTTTGCGGATTCCTCGCTACTGTGGCATATTGGGTGAATGGAACGCTTCCCAAGCTGGGTCAGGTATGCCAAGCGCCTCATCCTTTTGATCCCTATACCTGGGCCGACGTTCTCACCCAAGTCACCGGAACGAACACCACCACGTCCCAAAAACGAGCACTGCATCCAAGATGGTGGCGTTGAGTTCCGAGAGTTTGCGTCTCCGGATTTTGAGATTGAGTATGGTGTATCTTCGTTTCCCACCCGAGTATTAGTACATGGTGCTCGCAATTCTGATTTCTGTCAAATTTCCACCCCCAAACTCAGGGCTTCCAGTGCGTCCGTGTCAAAGCCTTCTGTGATTCCCGACCTTGTCAGCATAGCTGGTAAGGGACATCCAGGAAGCGGAAACAGATCGACTTCATTGCGCGTCCACGCAATGCCCTCCCTCACGCCGGGTACGTCTATGATGTCGGAGAAGAGCAGCAGGGTCGAGCTCTCCGCAACAAGATCCCGCCCCTCAGATACCAGTGCCCACAGGGCTGGATCCTTTGCCGCTCGCTGGACGAGGACAGCCCAGTACATCAAAATGAAGATGGCCATCGGCTCCCTGCCTCGGACCGCTGCGACAAAATGACTTCCGGAAACGGCGAATACGTTGTGGAAGTAGCCCTTGAGTCGGTTCTGCAGTTCTTCGGCGTAGCAGTATTTCGTCTGCCCGATGGCGAGTTTGTAAATGTACACGTCCGAGGCCAGCGGGCCCGCGCCATCTTCGCATATGACCATTTCTCCCGTCAGGACTGCACTGCCCTGAATTGTCGGGCTCGTCGGCGGGACGCGCACCTGCTGGGAGACAGACGACATCAGTTCCAGCGCGGCTTTGGTCTGCGGGTCGAGTTGATCCAGGAATGATAGATCCACGGCGAAATTGCGGATGATGGTGCCCAGCGGACTCGAACTGGCCATCATCCACTGCATGTTGTCAAAGATCATGCGACCCGATTTGAGGCCCATGGTGGCGTATTCGCAGACGCGGTCGATGAGACTGATGCTCGTGTCGCACATGACGGTGAACTGAAGCACGGCCACCAGGCTCGTGAAGTAGAACACCAGATCAACATTGTCGGGGGCCAGACTCGTGACTTGCGTGCGAAAGTCGGCCGTTGCCTTGGTTCCATATGCTAGTGCTGTCTTGAAATATCTTGCAGAATCGGTCGGCGAAGTCGACGCGCAGCTGATACCTAGATCGACGGCTGCTGTGGCGAGGATGGCGTTGAGGAGGTAGCCATGTCGGAGGGCCGCCCGGGGGAGGTACTGCAGCAGATAGGGCTGGCAATGTGGAGTGGATGCCTGGCATGTCCATGAGCGGATTGACCAGCGATGGATGAGTTCTAGTTCGAGAAGGCGGTCGACTTCCACGGAAGCCGACGAGGAAAAAGAACGGGGCGATGAAGTTGGCGGTTGCGAGGGAACCGGAACCACGGAGCTGGTCGCAGCATTGGCCTGTCGAAGAAATCCATAGCTGCAGGTGTCGGTCTCTTTGCGCATGACGCAGTTGAGGCATGGAGGCCCTTGTTCGTCGCACTTGCGGTTCGATCAGTGGATGTCGACGAACCGCGGGTGTATGCTCACCTTGACATGTCGTTTTTTGCAACTCCGACAACCATTTTTGGACTTTGTGTGGGATTTTCTCTTCAGCATCGCGACGGTGAGCAGGTCGGTTGAGTATGATGTTTCAGGTTGGAGACAGACGATTGATGGCGGAAGTCGAATGGTGGAAGAGCCATTCTGCGATTCACCGACGAAGTTTGGTACCAGGCAACAAGGAAGAAAAGAGCGATGATCTCCCGGAGGGGTAGCGTCCTCGCCTCTCATTGGCCGTGCCGAAAGCTGCCCAAGCTGCGCCCCTGGTGTACAGAAACCCTCCGCTCCAGTTGATTTTTTTCCGGCCCTTAATATTTGGATGTGTTCTATTAGGATTCGGTCATAGTTTAGGCTTTATATAAAGATTTTATGGTTTATGACCTATCCTTGAAATTGGAATTGCAAATATGAGATGTTCGCAAGATCTCTTCTACGCGCACAGGATCGGGTCAGATCAAGTCAAATCGGAATTTCAGCCCCCAGCGCCCTTGATACCACCCTGCTACTTCCCCCCATTCTTCAACCCCGCCATCAACTTGTCCCGCCATCTCCGTCGGTGATCTGCCATCCTATGTCTCACTACGGAATATCCAAGCCAGCCCTTTCTCCACAGCAGCCGAGCGCATGGAAACTGAAGCGACGACGTCCGAAGTCCCTGCGGTAACCGCCTACCTGGGTCTGCTATTGTGTGTCCTCGCGGTCCTGACGCTGCAACCAGATGGACACATTCTCGGCTTTCATCCCTCTCTTCGCATCTACATTCTCTCCCAGCCCATCCTGTGCGGGGTAGCAGCATTTTGGCGCTTCTTACGTGTCGCACACTTTCTGCGCAACCAAGCGCGTTGGGAAGACTTTTCCTGGGAGAATCTCATTTCTGCTACCGGCCGAGGGTTTCGAAACCTTGTTACCATTAAACACCAAGACCCACCTCCGGAGCCAGGGCGCCAGGCATGGGGACTGTCGCCGTTCTGGAGGGCAGTGGTGAACCTACTGCTTTTCCTGCTCGCCACTGTCTGGGGGCCCATCAAGACGTTCACTGCCACCGGCCTGCTCTGGACTACGGTTTGGACTGCCTACACGGCCTACTATGTCGTCACGAAACTCGGCGATTTTGTTGGGCAGAACCGAGCTGAAAACAGGCCCGCGCCTCCTCTGGCCCCAAACGCACCTCGTGATCCCGTCTGGATCGACAAGTGCGAGAATTACAGCAAATATGTCGCCGTCCCGCTCCAACTCGCCGTCTTCTCGTGCGTCGACCTTAGACCCATCCACCCAGACAAGGATATCCTCAAACGCTACGAGTTTCGCTTCTATCGGCTCTTCGCGCACCTCGTGTCCTACCTGATATACATCTATCTGGAACAGCAGGCGAGGGATCGTCTGCACCAGCGATTCCGCCGGAGGGTCCTGGCCCCTATTCCATGGCTCTTCCTGCTCGTGATACTCGGCTACTTCGTTTTTACCCAGAACACGTTCACTCTGCTTTATATCTTTGTCACTGCGAGTATCCCGCTCGTTGTGTGGATCCTGTCTAACATTGAGGGCAATGACGTGAGGAAAAACCTGGGTCTTGTTGAGGTCCCGGGTGAGCATTCGCTGCTGCAGGGCTTCTTTGCGTTTGACCTGTTTCTCAGATTGCTGTTCTTTTCCATCTATGGCTATGTGGTACATTATCACCCGGAGGAGACCGCAAAAGCGCCGTGGTTGGAATGGCTACCATGATCTGTCTCTAGCTAAGTATCTAATCTGCAGGCCCATTCTCAACCTCTGTTCTCATCAGAGAGTCTCAAAGAATTGATTATTTGGCGCATACGCCTCGAACCGGCACACCAGGTGCCTGGCCTGATAGACTCAGTTCCAACAATGACCATGTTCCTAACAGTTCAGCGTTCGCCTCTACCTCTCTGCAGAAGCCCCTCATCACGAACTTTACAGTGCTGCATAGAACCTAAACATTGCTGGTGA